CTTGACCTCTGTCTGGCTGCGGTACTACAATACTTTAATTAACTCTGATGTAATGCAATACCTCCATTAACTTTGATGATATCTAGCCCATGTCTATTTCCTGGGGTTCATCATAAAATAATTTTTCATGCATAGGAACAAATACTTCTTGTTTAAAAATGCATAACTAGGAAAGCCATAGGGTGCATGGTTCCTTTGTCTGTCCCACTGATACCTGGTTTAATCTTGCTTCACTCGTTATTAGAGAGATTCCTTGTACAGAATGTGAATGACAGCTAGTGACTTACTATTACAGATGGGGCAATGTGCTTGGTGGTGGATTTGCATCACATTGACCAGGTTAACAGATTGTTGGAATAAAGTGTTTTATCTTCATCCATGATGGAATCTGGAAATATATAAAATACCATTTTCTCCCGTCTTAGCCTACCTGGATTTCAAGATTCTTAGGAGAAACTATTCCCACTGTGTTGTTAGTTAGTTAGGCATCCTTCAGTCTCGAAAGACTATGGTACCGTCCTCTGTATGGAGGACTTGGAACAGCGTCTAGTGTGGCTGAGGAGGCCAATTCGAGAGTGACAGTCTCTTCCACACTGAAGACAAATCCAATCTGTCCCCTGTCCAGCTCCCTGGTTTTGCTGCTTTTGTGACTTCCTCTTTGCCTCAGCCTGCTGGGCAAGGGTCTCTTCAAATTGGGAGAGGCCGTGATGCAATGCCTGCCTCCAGGCTGAACACTCAGATGTCAGGGTTTCCCATCTGTTGAGGTCCATTCCTAAGGCCTTCAAATCTCGCTTGCAGATATCCTTGTATCGCAGCCGTGGTCTCCCTTGGGGGCGATTTCCCTGCACTAATTCTCCATACAGGAGATCCTTTGGAATCCGACCATCAGCCATTCTCACGACGTGCCCAAGCCAACATAGACGTCGCTGTTTCAGTAATGTGTTCATGCTGAAAATTCCAGCTCGTTCTAGGACTACTCTGTTTGGAACTTTGTCCTGCCAGGTGATACCAAAAATCCGTCAGAGGCAACGCATATGGAAGGTGTTCAGCTTCCTCTCCTGCCATGCACAAATGGTCCAGGACTCACTACAGTACAGGAGTGTGCTCAGGACACAGGCTCTATAGACCTGGATCTTCGTATGTGTTGTCAGCTTATTGAGCCATACTCTCTTTGTGAGTCTAGAGAACATGGTAGCTGCTTTGCCAATGCGTTTATCCAGCTCGACATCCAGAGACAGGGTGTCAGAGATGGTTGAGCCCAGGTACACAAAGTCATGAACAACCTCCAATTCTTGTGTGGAGATGGTAATAGAAGGAGGCGAGTCCACACCCTGGCCCATGACTTGTGTTATCTTCAGGCTGATTGTTAGTCCAAAGTCTTGGCAGGCCTTGCTGAATCGATTTATGAGTTGTTGGAGGTCTTCAGCAGAATGGGCAACAATGGCTGCATCATCTGCAAAGAGGAAGTCCCGCATACATTTCAGTTGGACTTTGGTCTTCGCTCTCAATCTAGAGAGATTAAAGAGCCCTCTGTGTGATCTAGTCCGGAGATAGACACCCTCGGTTGCAGTTTCAAAGGCATGCTTCAGCATGACAGCAAAAAAGATCCCAAAAAGTGTTGGTGCAAGGACACAGCCCTGTTTCACTCCACATGTCAAAGGGGTCTGATGTTGAGCCGTCAAAAACTACAGTGCCTTTCATTCCCTCATGGAAGGATCTGATGATGTTAAGGAGACGGGGTGGACATCCAATCTTGGGAAGTATTTTAAAAAGGCCATCCCTGCTAACCAGAGCAAATGCTTGTGTAAGGTCTATGAAGGCCACTAAGAGTGGCTGTTGTTGTTCCCTGCATTTCTCCTGCAGCTGTCGGAGGGAGAATACCATGTCAGTGGTGGATCTATTAGCTCGGAATCCACACTGTGTTGTTATAATCAAGACAAACTGGGGGGAATGTGTATTTTCTCAAATTAACCTATTTTCTCTTCCCCAATGGGGTTTATCATCCCTTGTATTTGGGTGCAGTCCAAATATCCATTTACTGGACACATAGATAAAATGGATTCATTTGACCAGCCAGTTGTGCTTTTTCCATCTTGCTGGCATTGCCTTTTAAAAATGATTCAAACTCTGTATCACTTCAGTCCCTATTGTTTTGGCACATGTGAATGCTACTGTTAATTTATTTTCCTTGCAAAGTGGTTGGTTTTTTGGGTGCCATGGCCACTGCATTTGAACAATTTTAGAAAATATTTTAAATGCTTAGCAATAAATTGCTTACTTTTTCTTTTATATATTTTCCCCCAACAGTTCATTGATATATTGCTTAGACAAATATATATGCCAATTTATTAATATATGACTTATAACATTTTAAAAAGAAAAGAAAATTTTAGGGCAGCATGGACCCAGAAACAGGACGAAAATGAATTGATTTCTGAGATGGCACATGTAGCCTAGAAAACCAGTACAAATAACATGAAATGAATCAATTGAAATGAAAGTCATGTGAATGGGTCCAGCAGTATATATGCCATGTGACTATGCATATGAATATATCAAAATAAAAAAGGAGGGAAAAGAAACAATTTAAATGGTCCATGCAATTAGGTCCTTTGTTGAAATATAAACAAAGTACAGGAGAAAACAGAACTGTCTGGGGCTTTTCCGCTTGCAGAAACAAAAAGCAGGCTCATATTGCATCTCCTCAAAAACCTACTTAGACCTGAGACAAGATTTCTGATGGAAAGCAAAGGCATTTTTACTTAAGACAGGCTTTCAGCATCTGAACTGATTTGCTGAGTTTTTAATTTGCTATCTCTGTGTATCTCTGCCCCAGAACGTGAGCCCCACTCGGGGGCGGCGGCGGAGGGGAAGCCGCCTTCCTGGAACCTCTTCCACGGAGGAGCAGCGTCTCATGCAGCCCGGCCCAGCCCACCTTTCCTGCCCGGGAAGAGGCGGCCACGGCTGGGCAGGAAGCAGCAGGATCGGCCGCTCGCCCTGGGTGGGGTGACACCGAGCACGGTGACCGGCCATTGGCGCTTCCCGGGCGAGCTTCCCGCAACAGCTTCCCTGCATGGAAGGGGCGCTGGGGGAACTGTAGCAGGAGTGGGACATGCCCAACCGTGAGCGCGGTGGTGTCCCACTTGTTAACCGGTCCGTGCACGGCGCTTGCCCCCCCCAATAGTCTGCAGACTGGAAAAGGTTGAGGACCACCGATGTAGAGTAAAAGGTAAAGGTTCCCCTTGATAATTTTTGTCCAGTCATGTTCGCCTCTAGGGGGTGGCCCTCATCCCCGTTTCCAAGCCATAGAGCCAGCATTTTGTCCGAAGCCAATCTTCCGTGGTCACATGGCCAGTGTGACTTAGACACGGAATGCTGTTACCTTCCCACCAAGGTGGTCCCTATTTCTCTACTTGCATTTGCATGCTTTTGAACCGCTAGGTTGGCGGTAACTGATGTAGAGTACAGACTTCCAATGTTGAACTGCAACTCCCATCAGCCTGGGTCAGCTCAAACAAAAATGAGGAATTCTGGGAATTGGAAACTGCTATCCAACAGCATCTGAGGGCTACACTTTGCCCAATCCTGCTATAACGCTTCTCAAACCACCCTCCTCATAAACCACCACACTACCTTAGCAGCAAAAGCTGCAGAGACATGTTACTGTGTACAGGAATGTAGAGCAGACATTCTTGAAAAGAAAATGCATAACATGTCTATTAACCAAGCTTGAATTGTAAAAAACAAAGAATCTTGAGTTTCAGGTGGGCAGTGAAGTGGCCATACTTACTCATGTTACTAAATTATTTAGGGTTCGTGGCAATTCCCTCTAATTTTCCGCTAGTGTTGGGTGAGGGTGTTGATACAAAACCATAGTTAATATATTAATAAGTACAGACTCCCTTCTGATTGTTCTTTATCTCGAAAACAGAGAACTGTTCTCCATAAAATAAGACCCATGGGCACTCTACCTACAAACAAATGTTAGAACTGTCTACAGTCCCATTTAGGAAAACTGCTCTATGCTTGAGGAAATCACAGCTCAGGTGTGGATGGTTTTAGCAATGAATTAGTACCAGTCTCACTATGTGTTTATTTAAAAATAAGGGCTCCTTATATTGGGAGAGGGACCAATTGCCCTATCATCCCACAATCCTATCAATCCCCCCACCACCCACTTTAGGTTGTGTGCCGCATTCCACACCAGAATTGTGATGTTGTTGTTAAAGTATTGTTAAAGTACTGAAATGGGACTCAGAAGGTCAAGTCCGAGAAATTCATGGAGTGACCTTGAGCCCACCACTCTCACCAATCTTGCAAGTAGTGAGAATAAAATAGGAAGGAGAACCATGCATTTATGTATTAGTTCATTGGAGTAGGGTGACCAAATGAAAAAGGCTTCTGTACCTTTAATAGTTAAGTGGAGGAGGAAATTTCAGTAAGTGTTGCTTGCATTAAAAACTGCATATAATGAAATTTCTTCTTCTAAGTAACTATTAAAATTACAACAGTCTTGTCCTCTTTTTTATTTGGTTGCTCTGTACTGGATGAAAGGAGAGAAATATAAAATAGGTAACAAAATAATTGTTTGGGGAACAGTGACAGGGTACCAATATCAATCCATCAAAGTCCTGCAAAATCATTCGGTAGCTTTGCTGTGGGACAAAACACAGCCTACACAATCAATTCTAATTGCATAATAATATCACAGTAAAGTTTAGTAAACTAAGCTCAGCAAGAGAACAAAGAAGCATCTTCTGGAATGCAAAAAGGCTACCTAAACAATGATCCACAGTTCTATTAAATTGATGACAGAGCAGTTACAAGGAGATGGACATACCATTCCGTTGGCTACATTCAATCAAGCTTAGAACAGTGCCTCTTAGCACCTGGTTTTTGCCTTCTCCAGCACCTCTAAAGGGCTAAGATGCTGGTCACATCTGGCTCATTTCCATCCAATAAAGACACAGGAGAAGGAGGATATTGTTTGTGGCCTTATCCTTCCCTTTTGTTGCCTCCTGATTCTTTCTAGGAGCAATATATATAAACAATAGCAAGCAAGAAAATGATAGAGCTATCATATGCAAAACCTGTGTCTTGAAAGCCACTATCTCTAAATCCCAAAACAGAAAAACAACATTCAAGCAACCATAAAGGACCCATAAAGGATTGCATGTAGTATGTGTGCACCTTCAAGTAGCCCCTGAACCCGGAAGAAACAACACCCAGGAGGGTCATTCTTACATACAAAAACCCCAGCCCCTCAACTTTGAAAGCAAAGCTGAAGGCTCGCTCGACCACCTTTCCGACCTCAAAAAATGACTGTTTGGTGGCCACCGACCCCCATCGTACACCGACAGTATTCCTGCAAAGCTTCAAGAAACCAAGCCAGACCTGCAATTTTCCTAGCCAGCAGAGGGAGTACAAAAAAAGAAAGCGTCGCCAAACTAAAACAGAAACGAAAAAGCAATTCTACGTGATTCCCCGAGCACCGCCTGCAGCGCGAGAGGCCAGAGAAGGCGGGAGGAAGAAAGAGCGCAGGCAGGCCCGGAAGGTCGGCCGGAAAAGCTCGAGGGATTGATTCCGCCCCCACCCGGTCTCCCGTCTCTTGGCCCCGGCGAAGAAGGCCGGGAGAGTTCCTGTTCGCCCTGTCGGCCCGCCGCTGACGAAGCAGGCAAAAGCGGCGCTCTCCTCCCTCCCTCCCTCTTCGTCAGACGTGGCTGTGCAGAACGGGAGGAAGCCCCCCCCCGAAAGTCTGCAAAGTGAGTTGCCCGCCGGGATAGGATAGCTGCAGGGCCCTGTCTGGTTTACGTGGGCGAAGCCCCGTCCCCGGCCATGCTGGGTGTGCGGGCAGTGCCACCCAGGATTGCTCCCGTCCTCTGTGTCCGCGCGCAAAAGTCGTCCCCAGGCGGAACTTGAGGAGGCCCATCGGGGAAGGAGGGGAGGAATGGGAGGACCCTCGTGGAAGTAAAGGGGGCGGCGGCGGTGGCGGCGGTGGCGGCGGTGGGGGGAAGAGGGATAAGGCGCTAAGTTTGCATCCTTCCCATAGTTGCTCTGTTGGACTGAGCGGATCCCCTGGATCCTTTAGAAAGGGAAGAAGAAATGGGAAGAAATAAGAGAAATATTTCTTTCTTATGGTATTATTTATGAACTAATCTAAAAAATTATGAACAAGATAGCCTAATCAAATAATTCTAGAGCTGATTTACAGTAAATCTCCCAGGGGGCTTCAGGGGAAAGCCTCCTAGAAGGTGTGCTGCATTTTAGCATGCCCAGGTTTGTAACTCACACCAAAGCGGTGCACAAGAAGAACTGCAGTGTAGTTGTTGGGGTTTCAGCATGGATCTCACTCTTGGTCATACAGTCCACAAATCTTTTATGCTAGAGAACTATATACTTGTTTGAAGCCAATGTTTGGAGGTGTTTTTATTTAAAATTATGGTTATCTTTGGCATTCTTGCTCCTTGGCTCTGCTGTAACAGCGCTCAGAGGAGATGAAAGATCGGTTTTTCAGGAGACGCATAATGATGTAGGTGCCAGAATGTTGGACTGTGTATTTAAATATCTAGGTGATCTCCTCTCCCCTGTTGAGCCATGAAACTCATTTATTTAGCGTAGGGTAGTTACACTTACTTAGTCTAAGTTAACTCACAGCATTGTGGTGAAGATAAAGAGGAGAACAATTTGGAACCCATTTGAAGAAAAGCAGGAGATAAATTTAATTAATAAAAATAAATGGTCCCATCTCTCAGGCCTACTGCTGTAAAAGCGGGGTGTAAAAGGGGGAAAGGAAAAAGGAAAAAAGGAAAGAAAGAAGGAAAGAAAATCTAAGATTTACATTTGTGGGGTTTATTGATTGATAAAATTTAATCAGGCAAAATCAGAAAATCAAATACACAAGTTGAGGTATCTTAGCAGTACTATATGTGAAAAACACCTAGTCACAAGCTGATCGCAGAGTGCAGTGTGACTGCAAAAAGCTGTTGCTGATATTGTGGGCTGTGTTGGCAGAACTAATTTTTTTTTAAGGCTTATGAATACCAGTTCTACTTTATACTCCATGAATCAGACATCATGAGGAATATTGTGGATATAGATCTTGGATGGATTTTTGTTGCTGTGTGCCATTAGGTTGCTTCTGACTTGTAGTGATGCTGTGAATCAATGATCTCCAAAAGGTTCTGTCACTGACTACAATGTTTGGAGTTTTAAAAATTCAATGCAGTTGCTTTCTTTATTGAGTCAATGTATTTCATTTTAGATCTTCTTTTCCTGTTGCTTTCCAGCATTCTTGTCTTTCCAGTGAACCTTACCATCTCACAATATGTCGAAGAATAAGAGCCTAAGTTTAGTCATTTAACTACTAGTGAGAGTTCAGACTTGATTTGATTTAGAACTATTTATTTATCTTCCTGTTGATCCATAGTAACTTTAATGATGTCTTCTAAAACCATATTTCAAATTGGTCAGTTCTTTTTAGCTTTCTTCAATCTCTTTATAGTAATTAGGAATACCATAGTGTGTACTTAAGGGTCTCTTCTAGTTCATTCATAGCTGCTCTTTGATGGCTCAGTCTTGGATACCAGTATAATAAATACGCAGAGATTTCTTTAATTTCTTCATTGTTGGTATTGAACCTAGTATTGATGCAATTAAGATTAACATTCTGGAGCCAGGCCTCTAAATCAAAATGCAAGTGGTTTGGTTCTGTAGGACTCCACATCTTCCACTACTGCTGCGGCCTAGTAGCTACTATTCAAGAGTTTCCTCTATCTTAGTGGTTCCCAACCTTGGGTAACCCAGGTGTTCTTTGACTGCAGTTCCCAGAAACCCTAGCTAGCACAGCTGGTGGTGAAGGCCTCTGGGAATTACAATCCAAGAACATCTGGGTTACCCAGAGGGAACCACTGCTCTATCTCATCATCATTGAAACTATCAGGTCTCTTCTGTTGATGCAACTGTTGTTTCCTAAAGAGGATAGATGTATGTCAGTCTGACTATTAGCTGTGACTATTCCGTCTTGGGAGTCTAAACTCATAATGGAGTCTTGTCTCCTGACAGCATTGCTTTCAACTTCCCTGATTCTCACAAATTCCTTCAGTACCTTAAAATGTGGATCCAAGGGGGGATGAATTATTAACAAGTCTGTCCTACAGTTCACCTTGTCCTTGGAACATTTTTTCCTTGTTTTTAGCTGGCTGCATGGTGATATCCTGCTGACTTTTCAAAGGTAGACCAAGACCTGCATGTTGTGCATTGTTGCTGCCTAGGCGATTCTTATTTTCATTATGGCACGTTGATTGCTTAGTATGGTGAGAAATGAAGGTTGTTGGTTATTTTGCTACCTGTAGACTTTCCATCACTTATCGTGGGCTGGAGAGAAGACTGTTTGTAGATTGCTGGAACCCTTGTTGAGTTTGCTGTTCTCCTCATTTTGCAATGTATAGGTTAATATTCTGTCTCCATCCTGATGGTGACTTCCATCATAAACGTAGGAGGATATTGGATTCCTGCTGCCTGTTGATAATAACAATATTGTTGTGTTAATTGTTCATATATTTTCTTTTGTCACTGTATTTTATTATCTCATTTTCAAAGGCTGAATGGTTCATAAGTGGAAAGCATGTCTGAAGAAATCAGGAAAAGACTTGATTTTCCTAACCCCTTTATACAGTCACAGGTAAGGTACTTTTTGCTTTGCATATCTTATTTATATTTTTAGAAGGGATGCCCATAAAATGTTCTACAAGTACATAGATGGGAATTTTGAAAAGAAAGTCACCAAGGCATGAAACTGTAAGAGCCATGGCTGCATCCCAAAACACATGATGCTTCATTATCCATTTTTCAGGGTTCTGAAGTCATTGTGAATCTTTGAATTACCATTTGAGAAACAATTTAACATTTCCAAGCAGTATTTCCACAGTGCAGTTGTGTTGGTGTAAAGTTAGCAGAGCTTTTGTCCCAGCCCAGGCAGTCCAATTGATTCACACAAACACAGGCAGCTCCTTCCAACACCAAAACATATTTACAGTATATACAGTAGTACAAACCAGCAGCAAGACAGCATGGCATCCAAAGAAGAGATCCATACATCTTCTGTACATGTCCATACACACACACACACACACACACACACACACGTCCATGTCCATACATACATACATACATACATACATACATACATACATACATACATACATACATACATACATACA